CACATTTTTGTATATTGCACAATATACAAAAATGTATATTTTTTAGGACGGTGGCCAATAAACAATTTTAGGTTTGTCAACTTCTGTAAAATATATTGCAAATATATTTATATGTTTATTACTATTACTATATTACTAATTTATATTTATATGTAGTAAGTATGAAAACTAACATATTAGAGACCTATTACTAACTAATATTCAACATATACTTATATATGATTCATATATATTTACTATATACGCATATGTATTTTTGTATATGGCAACATTGAATATTCGGACGTGTAGATTTCAGATATTAGAAGAAGTGGAAAAGTTGCTACTGATTTGGATCAACGGAAAGCAGTTTGCTTGTGTTTATCTTTTTTTTTTTTGGTAGACTGGTCTTTAAACTTGTACACAAAATACTGTTGGAAAACTTTCAATAAGCAATCATCCAGGGTCCAGGAGCGGATTAATTCATTTTACATTGATTCCTATGGGGAAAATTGTTTCAGCCCAGGAACATCCTAAGTTCAAAAACCGAGGTTCCACTGTATTTATATTGTACATTGTTATATATTGCACTATTAAATATTTAAAAGAAAAAAAGCTTTTAGATACAAATACCATATGTATTTTACATTTTGGTATATTGCATATTGCATAAACATGTATCCTTAGGGTGTATCAGCCGTTGTCTCACACCGCAGTGAAAGTTGTTTTTTTTTTTAATCTGCATCAAACTGGTCTGAAAATAAGGAACGGATTTCGCAAAGCCTCATGCAATAAAACGGCCACACGTGAAGGAAGCGCCCAGGGTGGGGGTTGGGGGGGGGGCGGAGGTTATAAACGTATTCAGCCTGTAGGGTGATCCATGCCACTAATATGTCTTTTCTCCACCAGTGGGTTGGGGCAGATGTTTAATATATGCCCAGCCTGTAATAAAGAAGATTCCAGGCTGTGATTTGGCATTTGTTTTTTTATGAATGGGAGTGGGAGACACATTCCCTGTGGGCTACAGCATCAGTCAGCCTTTGACAAAGTGGAAATCACAGCATCTGTTATGTAGTGTGACTCATCTCAGATCCTGAAAAAATAATGTACAAAGAGCCTGAATCCTTTGTGCGTAGACTGCAAAGGGCCGCTGTTGTTCTCGGTGACAAATTGCACCGCAGCTGAAAGGAGTGGGATTAAAATAATACGTTAATGTTTCCGAAGAATCAGAAAGAAAGCTGTTTATTTTAAAAAAGGAAAAACACTTGGCTGTGAAACGCTGCTCCTCACATAAACAAAGCCGGTGTTTGCTGTGTGTTTTATGGCGTCTTTTTCACTGCAGCTTCATGTGCAGCGTGCATGTACGTCTGAATTACTGTATCTCTTTGATCCAGAAAAAAAGATGTGTGTTTCCTGTGCTTTGAAGTGGATGCAATGAGTGGATGTGAAGTATCCCATAGTGTCATGGAGATCTCGGAGACAAAAAGGGGAAACGAGACAGGGCTGGAAAACAACAGGAAGTGTGTCGCCGTCAACATGTCTCAGATGGACGCAGGCAGGGGGGAAAACAACAACAACAACAGCAGAATGTTTGTTGGACGGTGGAAAGATAATTGGCCCTGGAATACCACCTCACCTGGCTTTATAGCAGGTACGGTGTTCCTGGTACCTGGTACGCAGCTGGTATTTTGAACTGAAGAATACCAAGGCTTTCTAACTTAGTGGTTAGTGCTCTTGCCTTACAGGGAGATCAACTGGTCAGGGCCGAAGAGAAACTGATGATGGTTTTAAATACAGTTTGCGTGTCTCTGTGTGTCTTTCTTTGGACTATTTTACATCCATGCAGATTTGGGATGAGGTTAATGGACACCTGAAATAAACACTGACATTGTGCTGAGAGTGCTTTGATACTATGAACCTTTATAACTATGTTCTTCTTTTCATTTATTTTATCCAACTCCCAGTTAGAGCGCAGTGAAGGCAAATACTTGGCCTGTACTACTGCCACAACTCAGTTCCTGGAGGGACAGGTCAAAATTAAAAATTTTGCTTTGACAAGTTTTTATCAAGTGTCAAGTGTTTTTTTTTTTTTATCAAATTTTTAAACCTCAAAGATCATCATTTTGATATCAGAGCAAGATATTGTTAACCAAACGTGTGAAATGTGTGTAAACTGCTGTAGCTGTGCTCCATCTTTTCCCTTTAATAAAAAAACATTAAAAAATGATTTGCTCTCAGTCCTTAGGCAAGGCATAAAAGCAAGTTGTGACGTGGTGTGAAAGCGAAATATTCCAAAGGAGACTGAACTTGCAGAAGAATGAAATGTTTGTGGGAAAGTTTTTTTTTTTTTCTTTTTTTTAACTTTTATCAAAAAGCATGTAAATCAATATCCTTGCAAAACTAATAATCTACACACACACGGTACAATTAATTATTAACCTAATTTTGGACACTTTGTGGCGAGATTTAATTCAAGATACTATGCATTCGTCTCTACTCTACTTACGTAATCACCTTTTGCAAGATTTCCGTTTGACACAACCAGTGATAGAAGCATTGACTCCAAATAAGAAACAGACCAGTGTTTGCACAATAACTGACAAGAAGTGTTATACTAGTTACAGGAGAAGCTCAGCATGAATATGAGACTGTGAAAATTCAACCCTTCACGTCAGTTCATTTATAACTCCCATAAACATTTGCATGACTTGTTTATGGCGTCAGTCTCCAGATCTGTATGGAGCAGGACTCTCTTTTATATAATTACTACGCCTTGTTTGAGAAGCCCAGACGACAAGACGACTCGTGTGAGTTCAACTTTAATGGCAGCCACGTACGTCTTCAGAGATGATCTACTACTGTATCTCCAACCCGCCTTTCTTCAAAGCAGGTTGTTATTAAAGCAAAAACACCACAGTTTGGACACTGGCTGGTCCGTGCTTCAGTTCCCTACTCTCTGTTTTAAAGTTGCACATAAAGGAGGCACGTCCACTCCTCTGTGATCATCTGACCATGACCTGCCGCTAGAATATAACTACCACAGTGTAAGCTTATTATAGACAGCAAAGTAGATGGTCCAGGAAGTTCTTCTGCACATGACACGAGACAGTCATGCACCCACTCGTTAACCAGTGAGCATTTCTGGCTTGGTAAACAACTCATAGTATTTTTTTTTTCCACATGTGACCATTTCACTGTAGAGACTGAGTTTTTCTAACATTCCATTTGTCCTTATCATTAGTTGTGGGAGACAAGGAGAGGAGGGCTTTGTCTGTGAGTGGGTGTCTGCCGAGTGCACGTGATCCTGTTTGCTGTGAAAGGTTTGTGACTCACTGGCTCCAGGCTCAGGATCCTGGTCTGACGGAGGGATCCGAAACCCCCCTCCCCTTCTGTCCGGCAGTCAAACAGAGGTCTCCTGAGTCACACATTTACCGTCACTGTGTCCAAAAAAGTAATAACTTATTACCTTTCAGTCACACTTTGCTGACCTGACATGAATCACGGTGTGTGTCAGCTCCTCACATCAGGGACACTGTTACTCATGTTGGCTAATGGATGAAAAACAAGCACAAAAGTATTGATCACTTTCCAAAAAAAGTTTTAAAAAAATAAGTAGATAACTATGAACACCACCAGTCACACATTGAAAGAAAAACAGTTTCAACATAAAACAAACTTGCAACAACAATAAGTGACTTTAGAGACAAACTATTTAATTAATAATTATAATAAGTACATTATTTTATATAACTGGATAAATTTATTTAAAATTATTTTTATGATGTTAAAACTTAAAACGTAACTAATCAGAAAAAATAAAAAATCCTATTAAGGGTTAAAAAACAACTAACAATTCATATAAAGTTGCAAATTTACAGTACAGTGACGTTTAAACAGTACCAGAATATGTACAGACACAGAAGGGAGCAGCTGCTAAAATAACTAATGTGTGATTGACAGGTAGAACAACCAGGCGGTACAGGAAGTGTCAGGGTGGAGCTTTTGTTATTTTTATTTCCCTGTAATTGAAAAATAAGGTGATGTGGTCGACATAACTTTTTCCATGATTAATGAACATTTAATGCCTGTTGCTTGAAGAGAGAGAGAAAAAATTCAGACTAATTACCACGCTAGGAGGTTTCATGGTACTGGCAGTGCAGTTAAAATGCAGCTAGTGTAATTAAGAACTGCTTACTAACCCTTTCTTTTTAAATGTTTCACCCGTAACTTGTAGTTATAGTAATACTCCAGTGAATCCTGATTCTTTAGTGGGTAAACATTAGGTCAACCTGTCATTTACTGTTGAGCTAGCTGAAGCCTTTAAGTGTTTGGGTGATTCATGGAAACAGCTCACAGTACAGAACAACAACAGGTAACATAGCTTTGACAAAGATATAGGATTCATCACTTAGTGTTATTATTAAAAAAATACATTTTCTTTTACTTAATTAACAGAGAAAAGAAATAATGAAAAGAAAGATGAGATCTATATTCAGACAAAACATGTTTTTTTTAAATTTAATTTCTACCTTTTTTATTTTATCTAAACGTTCTTGGGGTTTTTTTTATTGTAAATGTAGGTAATAGTGATATAGAGTGTGTTATTAGCTGTCAGGAACTGACCAGACAGTCTTTGTTTAAATATAGTCCGCTCCAGTGTCCTGGAACAAACTCTTAGATGGAGGATCACACACAGTTGTTGCTGAAATTGCTGACTGCGCCTTCAGTGGCTGCTGGGCCCACTGACGTGCTGCAGCAGGGCTGCCACCTCCTCCACCTCCTCCTCCACCACCACCATCAACATCCCTATCCTCCTCCTCCTGCTAATGATATAGTGAGAAAGAATGCCTGCACAATGACCAAAACTCGTCCTGAGTTGACTTTTCGCCCTGCCTTCTGAAATAAAAACCGATCCGCGTGTGCACGTGTTGCTGTCGTTTCCATGTATTTTGCGTATGTAAACCGGACGCACCAATAGCGCCGCCGCTGCGCTGTGGCGTCCAGCGGATTGGTCCGGAGTGGGAATTGGGCGAGCCAATAAGAGAGCCAGCGGTATGTAGCCCCGCCCACGCAGACACGTTGCCTCTGGAGAAGCTACACGGGGCTGATAGCCGACTGTTCCGAATCTACACTCACTCACACGCTGCACGTTCAGCACATCAGCTGCTGTCTGCCCGAGAGACGCCGCTGCCACTGCGGCCACCGCTGCTGGATCTACTGCCTGACAAAGGAAGCAGCAGCCGCTCCATCACCGGGAAGGTAAGAACACTTCAGTGGCAGCGTATCGATAAACCGACCAATGTTTTAAGCTTCAAGTCTTTCAAACCATCTACTGTAGGGGTTTGACGCAATACTTTGCTTTTATTTACAACTCAAACGCAACGGTAAAAAACAAACCCTGATAGAATTTAGTGGTGTGATTTAAAGTTGTTATTCTCTTTTATTATTATTATTGTTACTATTATTATTATTGTTGTTGTTCGTATTTTGCGTCAGCCAACATACAGTTGGAGCCCGGATCAGTCATTTAGCGACTTAATGCCCACAGCGTTCTTTCTTACACTGGTGTTTTATTTTAATACACTTATTACCGTATTAACTCGTTTCAAACTATAATGTGACAATTATATTAAATTAAAAATATTTTTAAAAGGTTAACGGTGATGTGGTTTTTTTTTTCTTTTAACGCTTGCCATCGATTTTCTTCCCAATCTTCTAACCTTACCTTTAAATGTGTCTGCTGTTGTCTCTAATCTGATCTCTCTGACCTGCATTTCGCTGGATCTATTTGATGTTAGGGTTCGGGTTATTTTAATCTCTTGCCAATGACAGGCAGTTGATCATAATTCATGTCCATCACCTCCTCCCTCCCTCCATCCCTCCCTCCTATCTTTGGCGTTCATGTGCTGGGTGGCGGGTCATCTGTGATCAGCAGCCTGCCCCCCTCCTTCACGTGTAGATAAAAACATGGGAAATGAAAAGGGAAAAGCGTGTTGTCTGAGAACACATGTGAAATATATCCTATGTAATGGTGTCAGTGTGCGGGTGTGTTTGGAAGAGAGGTTTCATTTTTTTTGTGATGGGGAAGCAGAACTTTAGGGTTTGGCCGGCTGCATGTTCTATTACTCTCTGTGGTGTTGTGTGTCGAAAGAATTAGAAATATTTGCCTACTAATCAACACTCAGAATGTGAAGGACTTATGAGCAGCTTTCTAAATATGTGCCTAGGACCACAGCCTCCGAACCGCCTCCCTCGTGTAGACTTCTTTTGTTACCCGGCTCCCATACCATAACCAGAGGTGGGGTAGATCTAAATTGCCTCGTTGTCCTCCAATGTTGCTGCATGGAAAAAATCAGCACATCTCTGCTCCACCCTGCTCTGTATAACAATAAGATCAGACGCTGGCCTGAACTGAGACAAAGCAGTGGAACAATTAACTCTCCCAGCCTGAAATTTTACAGGAAACAAAATGACTCGGCAGCAGATGTAAAGCGTCAACAAACAGCCCCCCTCCCCATTTTTCTCCCCTCCAAAAAAGGAAAAATGGGCTCGGAGCCCAAAGTGCTGCTTTCACTTCCGTGATCTGCTAATCACTGAGGAAACACGTACGCATCCCACAGGCAATTAGCCATCAGGAGGGGAGCCTTTTAGTTTTTATTCACCAGGCAGATTTCCATGGACAGACTGTGCTAGACCCCCCCCCCCGTCCCCCCCCCCGCCACACACACACACACTCACACACACATACACACACATCACTTGTGCTGCTGGGATGTTGGTAGTCTGATGTCGTCATGGAGGCAGGACCCTCTCCTCTCCCCTCTTTGAATAAACAGCCCAACAGTGTATATGAATGAATCTGTGGCTGCAGCTGCAGGCTGAGGGATGAGAAGTAAAAAAAAAACCTGTTTGATTTTTCTACACAATTAAATAAAAAACAGAATTAAAAATGTTTTTTGGGATGCTGGCGTGGTTGCGTTTGCTACATCAGGTGTTGTATCTCGCTAAACAAACGTGTCGTTGTGGTCTCAACAACTTCGACCTCGAAGCTGCCATCTGCTCCAGGCTGCTGTGTCTGCTCCTGTGTGCACGTCTGCTGCATTATATTCTGCCTGCAGTCTTTTTCTTTTATTACCAATCCGTATGAAACGGTGGTGCAGCGGTGGCTTGGATTGCAGAGGAAACTGAATGCGGTCGAAAAGCACGGCAGCATCTAATGGTTATGTCTATTGTTGGTCAATGAGGTTATTGCTGACTGGTGATTTGGTTCATTGAATGCACCAATTTGTAGGAAATGATGCATTTAATCTTGGAGAGGATGGAGCTGTGTTTTAGAACATTTAACATGTCAACTCCAAACAAATATTTGATAACTAATGCAATTAGTCGCTACATTATCGCCTGGGGTTTCTCATCGTTACCTTTTTCTTCTTTCTTTATATTATTCCCCATTTTCCCACAGCATTTTGGAACTAATAGTAATGATGTTTCTTTCTACAGTTAATTCATATTTCAACTGGTGACAGTCCTCAAACACCAACAGTAAAATGTCCTCATAATTCCTTGTTCTGGTCCACAAACCATTGTCTTTTTGTTATTTACTTTTCAGAAAAAAAGGATGATAAATGACCAGTAGTGGATTTATTGTAATCATATTTTTTCCATTTTCATGTTTTTACATTTGAAGTAACAGAGGTTCCCCCCCCTCCCTGTCAGGTTAGTGATGGTCAGTGCGTGTTAGAGCCTGCGTCCAAGGATGTCTGCCACAGATTCGGACAACTCCATCGACTGGCTGGCCAGTGACAATGAGGACAACGAGGAGAGCGAACAGGAGGCTGATTGTATCAGAAATCCCAGTCAGACACAGCCTCCCCGCTCCCCGTCCCCAAGCGTCCGGCCACACCTGGAGCCGTCTGACGATGGCTGCCGCCGGAGCACTGAGGTGAAGGAGGGCGACAGTAAGCGCAGGAAGGTCGCGGAGAACTGCGGCTGGGGATCTTCCCCGGAGACTTTTGACAGTCATATTGAACTGTGTAAAGCCAAACAAGCAGAAAAGACTCACGACAAAGACACTCGGCGTGCACTGAAGAGGGCCCACAGCTTTGTAGAGTCACGGGAGGAGGAAGAGGAGGAGGAGGAAAGTGAGGACTGCAAGGACAAAAACCTCAATTCCAACATGTCTGACAAAGACAGATTCTTCACCAGTAAGGTGAGACACTCTGTGATCTACTCTACGTCCTTACCCCACAAGACGTGGTTAAGTGTCAGCAAAAACAAAACAAAAACAGAGTGCATGTCACCCAGACTGACCCTCATACTGGCTGACAGAGAGCCTCACGTGTCATTTCCAGTCTGAGAGCAGGGTTAGTCATGCTTTTTCTCAGGAACTCATCAGATAAGGAAGCAGAGTACAGTTTTTTTTAATAAAAATGCAAAACATTAGCATTATTTAAGCAGCACTTTTACATTGTTTTATGAATACCATGTGAAAGAGTTTTATAATAAACCCTTTGTTTTCAGTGCATGGAGCTACAATGCTACATTCATCCACTGTCATTAATCCTGAATGGCCTGCGTGCTGGGAGATACAGACAACGTAAGTCAGACTTTTTTTTTCTATTCTTATTCTGCTGTCTTCGACTCCAGGAAATAACAAAACCGTCTCTGTTGCTCGGTGCATCTGTCATCTTTTGTCTCAGTTGGAGTCTGAATTTTGAGTCTCAAAGAAAACCATTTGAGCTGATAGACAGCAGGCTTAGCAAAATATGCTTCCCTGAGATTTGAGAACGTGATGTAGGCAACAATACATATAGTTGAAGGACTATCAAGTAACCACAAAGTATTTCCCGTGTCCGTCTTAACCAATGGAGCTTGTTCGGGCAGCTTGGCTGATTGTTTTCAGGTTTCTCCCTGGAAAGATTTATTGTAAGCAGTTAAAAAAAACGTATTTTATTAATTTTACATTTTAGACTATTCTTTTGTAAACGTGCTGCTTGGCAGAGTGCGGGTGGAAACACTCCTTTAACCACAGGAAAGCAGCTGCTGTTTGTGAGCTGTACTACAGTTTTCTGGCAGAACGTGCCACGCTCAGGCTGAAACTGCTTAGTTTGGGATCTTTGTCAAACCAGAACCTGGTGTGACCCAACACTTCCTGGCCACAGAGGCAGGGAGCCTGTTTCTTTACACACGCACACACACGCACACACACCCATCTGCTGCACAAAGTCAGCCATTTCCTGTAGCTCATGGTACGACTTTTCCTGTCTTCCAGGACTCAGCAGTTTCCAGGAGAGTGTGGCCATGGACAGGATTCAGAGGATCATGGGTGTCCTGCAGAACCCCTGCATGGGGTAAGAACCCTCTCTGTTTGACCTACATACCATGCCCCATATCAGCAGTCGAATCTCCTCTGCTGCAGCGCCGTGCACGTCCTATAGATGTAGCAGGATTCCTTGTTCTTTCTTCATGAATATTTCATTTTCATTGTCGTTTTTAAACCTCTCCTGAGCAGAGAGAATTTAATTGTATCCAAACGAGCGCCCACACAATTATAACAGCTGGAAGTGACATTTGCTGTCCCGGGGTCAGAGTGCCTCACAATATGTCCGTGACACATGGTCTGCAGCAGGTTTCACTGCGAGAAGCTGGTCGACCCCTTCACACACACACACACACACACACATATATATGTTAAGGATACTTTTACTTCAGAGACGGCTGGGTTTCACTACAGCTGAGAATCTTGTTAAAAATGTATCAGGCTCCACAGTAGGAGCTGCACACTTGTGTCTGCCTGATTAACTGTCTGCACAGCAGACGGTATAATGGAGTGTGAGATCACACCAGGTTTAAAGCCTTTGTTACCTCATCTTTTGCCTAATATTTAACACACACACACAAATATATATATATCATAAAATCACATTTTTTCCAAAGAAGTTTAAATCTCCAAAATGACTTAAATGTATCAACTTTTATGCATTTATTTTTCTATAACACAAAAGACACAACAATAAAAAAGGTACTTGAATATACTTGTTATACTGACTAGACAAGGATAATACATTTTTTTGACAATTATTGTTTATATAAAAAGGTAAAAAAATAAGCTATGGCATTCTTTTTAAAAAAAAAAATTATTATAATTAAGCATAAATCACAGTATATTCTCGCTGATTTCCGAGCCCTTGTCTGGTCTATAAAAGATCAAGTCAGCAAACCTAATATTTCCAAAGCGATCTCCACTGGCACCGCAGCCGAGTAAGTCAAATTAAAAAGGCAACATTTAAAACTGAAATTACAACAACAATAATAACATGTTGGCAATAATACCACAGCGCAGACAAACACTTGAGATATTTGCATTTGGATACACAGCAGTGTGGGTGTGTGTGGGTGTGTGTGGGTGTGTGTCTGTCACTGTGGGCAGACAGATCCACACTTGAGGCTTTGCATCGATGGGCACTGACTCACAATGGAAATGCTGCTGAGTGTGGCACCAACTAATTACAGCCCCTCGCACCCAGAGCAGCTGCTGCCGTCATATGGGAGACAAAGAGTGGGGCGTGGCAGCTTTCCTGTACACAGGCAGGGCAGCGGATGGAAGGTGGGCTACTCCTCCCCACCCGTCCTCACTCCCCTCTCTCTCCCTCCCACCTTCTCCCTGCTCTGCGTTGCCAGCTGATGGCCCCTGCAGCCACACAATGGCAGATAGGATCAAAGTGACTGGGGTTTTTTTCTGTTGCAGTCACTGTTGTGGATAATCTTTCACATGAATTTAACATGTTTTGAAGGGAGGGGTCCTGATCATATGTCAGGGACTAATCCCCTACCCACCATCTGTGTTTTTCATGGGATGAAGCTAGTGGGACTTTTTGCCCTGTGCCCACCTTCAGCCAGAAAGGCGTCAACACATGGGCTGTGTTTTCACAGTGACTCTGTTGGAGATGCTTGTGGCTTTAATGTTTATATTTAGAAGCGAGCAGCCTTTTACACACGGTGCCACGTGTGAGCTTCCAGCATGTGAGAAATGTGCTGTAGACAGTTTCCCTTCACTTGCTCGAGTGCAGCCGTTAAATGTGTGACCGCTGTTCACGTTTGCAAATTTCCTGTACCAGCCAGAGATGGCGTGTATTACCAAAAGATGCTGAATATTTTTTTAATTCCTTCCATGCCTCCTCCTTCTTCACAGAGAGAAATATGTCCATATAATTCTCAAGATGGAGGAAATGCTAAGGAGCTGGTTCCCTGATGTAAAACTCCAAGACCAAGTCGTTGTCGCGCAGACGGAGAAAGCCGTTCCGACCAAGAAATCCAGGGTAAGCTGCTGACGCAAAAAAAAAAGTTGTGTAACGGCAGCAGACGGAGCCCACGCTGAAGAACGTGTGATGACATTGCAGCTAAAAAAAAATCAGGCTATTATTTAATCAGAGGCCTCGGTCGGAGCAGGGAGGATTAGGAGCTATTTTTGTGGAGGTTTTTGCTGCAGTCTCAGGTTCACCGAGAACAATGACGAAGGAGAAAGGTGGTTTTGGGGGAGTGTCTCTGTGAACATAAGAAGGGTCAGGATGCTGTGGAACATTCCTGTGTGTTTTTATAGCTGAAGATTTATTTCTGTAATGTTGACACACCCTTTCATACATTGTTATAATACATATGTTACAATAAAAGGGCCAGCAGTAGACTTAAAGCTCTGTGAGCAACACTTGGGGTATTACTTCCGGATTAAATGACTCTTGAAAAAGAGAGTGGAGAGATTATTTTGAAATGACGCACACAGTTTAAATTTCAACGTGATGTAATCAGGCGTTTGGCTGTTTTACCTCCAGGCAGTGTCTGATCCTCCATCGTCTTAACAGCCCAGGATCAAAGTTAGGTCTTTTTCTTATTTTGTTTCAGTAAAGTTAGGTTTGTTGTAACCTTTGGAAATCATTGGACTACACTGAGCTACCGATGCTAGTCGTACTCTGTTCAAGCATAACTTTGTTAGACATGTGGAGGACACTTTTTTTTAAAAAATAATTACTCTCAAATCCCTGGGGCGCAGCCTGGTACCAGACCTTGGGTCATTTGAAACTGGGACATACAGAAATTAGAAATAAGGATTTATTTTCATTTATTTTAGTATTAATGGAAAATGTGTAGTTTATTTCATTTTACTTTTTTACTTCATGTTCTAGATGCAAAAAAGTATGTGTTTAGCAATTGACTTCGGAACAGAGATTTTCATTTTCAATACCTCATCTGTATAAAAGTGGGATTTTCTCTAGTGACATCAACCAAAACTAAAAGACTTGGTAGAGTGGGGCGGGCCGAGGCAGCACTGCCTGCCATCATCCTCATTTAGAACTTCTCACTGCAGAAAATAACTTTATCCACTTCATATTGTTTTCATGTCAGTCATGTTTGTTTCTTTGTGCTCCTCCATGACTGAGACGTACAGTAGAAATGTGGTTTTACATGAAAGTGAAAGTCGGGTTCTTCACAGAAGTAAAGCTGTTTTTCAAAATACACCTTGACATTTACTGACTTTAAGGAGAAATTCAAAGCCAATGCAGTATATTTCGGGTGTATTTTTCCTCTGCGGTTGTATACTTACAGAAAATAACAGATATTGCTGAAGACAAATTAATGTCTCTTGTCATGTGGGATGTTAGACAGTTATTTGATTTAATGTTACTGATTGACTGTGTTGTGTTTATAATAATATGTTTAACCAGATTAGGTCATTTTAATAATTAAGCCACTGTGTTGTCAGTCAATTCATCACACATGACATTTTCAGAAAAACAGACTCCACTGTGCAATAAAATGGTAAAAATGTCATCTAGTTTCCATGATTAGTTTATTATGAAAAGCAAAATCAAACTGGTCAATGACAGTCATTCATTCACTCATTGATGGACACATCACATGATCTGGCATCTCTTGCTACTCAGGCTGGCTAGAAATCTACTAGAATTGCATTTTGTGCATAACTGGCCAAATAAACCCACTTAAACCCACTTCTTTTTTTTGTATTGCCTCAGCTGTGTCCAGTGCCCACCACTGCAGCCGCGATCCCCGTCACCGTCAGTGACTCTCCAGTCGGAGCCAAAACCCTGAGTGTCACCGACCTCACGCCCGGCGGAGCTTACACTGCCAACAACCTGAAGTGGCTCCACACCTCGCCCATCTGCTCCCCCACAGCTGAGCAGGCCTCGGCCAGTCCCAAGCTCCTGCGGTCCCCCAGAGACAGAGACGACAGAGACCTTACCCAGGATAACGCTGTGTCCTCCAGCACAGACGCCCACACTAAGACAGACACTGTGCTCAGACGTCTCCCTCCGGGCAAAATCAATGCGCCGTGTCTAGAGAGGCTCCTCAAGTCGACGGAAAGCATCATCACTCGTAGAGAGACACAGGGTTTGATGGACAGCTCGTGGTCCTAGTCCACACAGAGGACTGGGCGTCCAGCTGTTTTGCACTGCACAGCCCAGCCCAGTCTAGCCTTGCCCGACTTGCCTGGAGCCACTCAGCTTGCTTCGCCCATTCCAGCCTTCAGGGAAGAGATGGTAGCCTTCGAAAAGGACAAACACTTTTTTTTTGTTTTTTTCCTTCTTAATGTGGAAGGAGCATCAACAAACGTGTTGTGCTCTCTGTTGTGCGGGAATGTGTCCACTCTTACATGACAAGTGTCTGCTTTAGTTCCCTTTTGTTGATTGACTTTGTTTTGTTGTTTGCACTCTTGAATAGCGTGTGTTTGAGTAGCACAGGTAGATTTTCACGTGCTGGGATCATCAACGCTGGTGTTTCCACACGATGAATCGTCCCCACTGGTGTGTAGATACAACAGTACAGTTTGATTATCTGCGAAAACTGCCGTGATGCTAGAAAGGGAAGGAGCTGCTATTGTGGTTAGTCAGTCCTGCGAGGGAGTGATTCAGATATTCAGACATTCAGACATGTTTGTGGTCTACGTGTTGTTGTGCTGAAAACGTGGGTGAAAATGTGACCTTCTCCCCCGCGCCCCCCCGCCCCCTCCCCCCACTCCACCTTTGAGTTTATTGATGTGACTGTTACTCATGTATACTTTCTAAAGAAGTCTTTTGGTACAACTGTACTACCTCAGTGGGCACCATGTCATATTTGCGGAGTAGGAACGGAAAGGCTGCACTCAAATCTGCGAGCCCCCTCAGCGGTTGTGCAGCGCGGCCTCCAGTTTGACTCCTATCCCACTTGTACAAACAGAGGATGCTCTCTCCATGGGGATGCTATTGTGGCCTGACTAGTGCCATTGTCATGAATGTCAACTGCAGAATTCTGTCTCTGAGTTTCCCAGTTGAAGGCAAACAGTGCCTGTAATGTCAAGCTGTGCCTGAAAGCTGGGTTATAAAAAATAAAAATTAAATTACAAGGAGGCAAGAATATCTGCTCCTCTGTGGGAATGTACAGATCAGGAACTCCTTTACGCAACCACCATTGTCCTGTATTGAGTAAATTATTCAGATCTTGCCAACTACTTCTGCAGTGGGGTAGATTCTTTTTTTTTCTTTCTAATTTTCATTTTGCCACAGACTTGGATAAATCCCAGACCAGACCAGCAGAGAGCAACAAGACTTTTGGCTGTGTAAATCCCGCAGGAAGTTGGTCCATCTACCCTGAAAAGTGGCCTTTATGGTGTGAAATTTTATACTTTCGAAATAAATGTGGTTATTATTTGTTTGATGCAACATTTGCCTTTTTTATTGTGACTCATGAGGTGTTTGACCAGCACTGTCACAGCATGCATTTGGTTTCATGAGAAACTCTCACCACAGCAAATTTAACCCTTAATCAAACTACACACACACACACACGTCATTTCAGGTCACACAAATGCTTTGGTTATTTGATTTGGCACATGATTATCTTTAACGCAGCAGGAAGTGAAGACCTTCCTCTTAAAATACCTCCATGTTTTGCATACCATCAGTTCCACTAACTGAATATGTTTCCACGAATTAGAGTTCTGTTAGTTTTGAATAATGGTTTCTTGGCAGTCCTCCAAATATATGTGAAAACTAAATCTTAGTGTGTCAGTTATTCAGTTAGTCTGTCACAATATAGTTTTACCAATACACACACACACACACACACACACACATATATATATATATATATTCACAAGCCTATTGTTTAGGCAGAATACACCCACACTTGATTTTCTACTGTTTCTGCTAACTACAGTTTATGTACAAAATATGTTGGAGACACCTAGTCAAAAGCAGTATATTGCCCCCTGTAGGTTGAAACGTAAACCTGACTTTGCCTTAGATTCTGCAAAAATCATGTGATTGGAAAATTGCACTTCACCCTCAACACAATGTGTCCAAATAAGAAATCGAGTCAATGCATTGTGCAGTGGTGATTGGCTGGAGGCAGACGCATGACGTACTCGGACTGCTTTGTTTCACGCTACATTCCATCTCCCCGAGCGAAGCTAATGGGTTGTACTCACGTGCACTGCAGAGCTGACAGCATCCAGCAGAGGCTGGTACTGATCTGAGTCATACTTGCAAAGAGAAGAACAGTGAACATGTGAAGGGCTGGGAACCTGAATGAAAAGGCTAAATGAACATGGTAAAAGAAACACAGTCAGTTCTGCATCCTCCTTCTTCTGTGGTCAGCAGTACAAACGTCTTCTGTACTGTATATGATTTGTGTTTTTCCAGCCTAATTCAGTTATCTGAGGATGAAGCTTTTTACCTGGCTGATTGAATTTACCTTTGAAGTATATATTTATGTCAGACCAGGAATGAAGAACAGTTGACATGAACATAGTAATAGGTTGTAAAATGTGATATTTTTATTAGTGGTCATTAATATTGACAGTGTCAGAACATGACAGAGTGTAGTAGACTGGAAGTCAATGGCCCCGCCCCAGACATTACACCACCAGCACTTGTCCGAATTATTAATACAAATAAAATTGATTCATGATTCTGTTCTGACACTATCATCAGAATGTCACAGTATGAATAAAGAATTGTCAGACTTGACAGGTTTTTTCCAACCCAAACACATTTCAGCCTCTGGTTTTGACTCTGTTCTGCAGTTCTTCTGCACATCTTAATTATTTAAGTCACTGATTCCTTTTAGGGATTTTTTTTCCTGAGCTGTGGCATCTCAAAGTGCTGGAAATGTAATGTAAGTTTTTTAGCCAAATTATGCAAAACAACCAAAAAATCCTCACACTATTCAATGAAAATGAAACACTCGGACCATGTCCGTCTGGCACCAACATTTAACATCCATTGAATTACCCTGCTTCGCTAAGTTAGGCCCATTTTGAAATCCTGGAGAAGATCCATGGATGTAGGATGGTTGTTGTAACAGGAGAGGAGATATGGATGGAGGGAAATGATTCCATGACAACCTCTCAGGGTAGCAGCTGGGCGAAGGAGAGGATCATCAAGGAAGGGTCCGTACTGGCCCTGAACTGAATGCACATTTGCTAATTGCCACTTGAATTTCCTTGTGAATTTATTACTAACATGTAGAAATAAATTGTATTTTCATTTCAAAGCACAGGTCATGCATTAGAGAAATGCGGGGGTTATCCGAGGGTTTGGGCAATATGTTCCCCTGTTACAGAAAACCCAGGAGAAAAATAAGAAGCATTTGATTCTCTCCAGCTACTTTTTCATTTTAAATTGCCTCTGATTTGAGCTCCAGCTGGCTGTGTAATGACAAGGCACTGTGATGTCGAAGAAAAAAATGCCAGTTATTTATACATGTTCTCCATTTGACATGTAGTCAAGACGTGGCAGTTATGCAGTCAGCTCTGCTGCTGTCAAGTCATGGCAACATGTCTCGACATCTTGTTATAAAGTGTCTAATTACCTCAGAACAGGTGCTGAGTTGAAGCGGAGACAATTACAACCAATCTTCCCAAGAGACAGTGTAAAAATAGTCCTCGGATTTGAAAAGACAGGGTTAAAGTCTGCCGTCTATAATCTCACCAGGACTACTTCAACGTTGAAGAGTAACTCCTGGAACGAGTGATTAGTACTTTTGCCTTTGCCAGCAAAATGCTTCCATGTTCGATTCCAGTTGAAAACCGATGGCCTTTCTGTATGGAGTGTGCGTGTTCTCCGTGTGTGGGTGTGGTGAAAGGTTGTGTGTCACCGTACTGCATGTGGCCTTGTGATGGAATGACAAACTGTTCTGGGTATTCTGCACCGGCGCCACCCACTGACTGCTGGGATTTGCTTCTGCACATCTGCGACCCAGAAAAGGATTAAGTTAATGAAAAATGAATGAATGCATTAAATCAGCATTAAGATAATCTCCTCAAACAGTAATAGTATATATATATTTATCTTAGTCTGTCTTAGGTGTTCCTTGAAGATGTCTTCCTATGTTTGCAGTATATTAGACAAAGGAGCAGTATACCAACAAAGGCTACATTGAACGCTAAATCACTGCTTCCCGACTATGCTGGTTATATTACAGTGGGAATATGCTGGTCTCCGAAGCACAACGACCACTGAGAGTATTGATGACAGATCCGGGGGTAAGTGGCTTCTTCAGCTCAGTAGAGGAGTATTGATTTATTTGTCTTTAAAAGGTTATGCTCTGCACTGTAAAAATAAATGTCCAAAGAGCAAAAAGAAAGAAAGAAAGAAAGAAAGAAAAAAAAGGTCTGTATTCAGCAATGAGAACGACCTCCAAAACTGCATTTAAAGGCACATGGTGCCATGTGGAGTCCAGTTACATGAGTACGCTGGGAAAGAAAATCTTTTAACAAAGAATGCTTTTAACATTTTTAACGAAATTTTTCTTTAATTTTTCTTTCTAATTTGACCATTTGTTTTAACTTAAGTTTTTTTTTTCTCTAGATTTCCTCTGGCAGCCGTCAGTCTGGGTTTGTTACCTGACCCAGCATTGCTGTGCAGAGCTCTAGTAACTGCCTTTTTTTTCTTAAAAAAGTTACTGCAGTTACTTAAATTCAGTCTGGACTAAGTCACTCATCACTGTCTCGACAGTTATTCTAAGGCGTATAATCACACCTCACTCTGTGTACTTATCTGACAGGTTATTTTCTACCTGCCCCATGTTTCTTGTGTACATCTGTACTCTGTCAGACCTCTTGATAATTCTTCTTATCTAATTTCTTGACACTTCCTGTCAGATCCTGTTAGATCAACTAAAAAGCACTTGCTTTACTTTGTATTTAAATTGAAAAGGTAAAGTGAATCCAGTATGTTCAGGTTAAGCCAATTATACTTCTAATCTAGTTTATTATCCTTAGCAGTATATTCAACCTCTTGAGATTAAGAACATTACTTGTCCTTGGAATTTTAATGACTCAAAAAGATTTCAAGAAAAAAAGATGAGGATTTCCAGGTAATGTAACCCAGAAAACTCACATCAATCAGTTTTACCACCACAGAAAAAAAGCTATACCTTTCATTCGGTGTTATTTGAGGCTCTGCAGTGTTGGTGTCCAGAGACCCATTATTGCATCATCAAACTCTCACTTCAACCTGCCACATATCACAGGCTAATTACCTGCACTTATTCCAGAGCAGAACTGATTATCCAGGGGTTTGAACAGCCTTGGAAAAAGCAAGCTACACCTGAAATGAACGAATAAGAAGCGTCACAGACTGGTTCATGTGGGAATTCTCAAGTCCCTTTACATGTGTGTATGTAGAGATTACCTCTATGCTCCATGGACCACAGTCTCTCAAAACATGATCCACCTACAGATAGAATGTGGCACAAGTCTACGTTACTGGGCCATACAGAACATCATCCCACATTTTTAAAGACAATAATGTTGCTGTTGTAATCACCGTGATCCACAAACATTTGTTTTCTTCTAAAATAAATAGTAATGATGAGAATTAACTGCAGTGATGTCCAAACTTTTCTCAAGAGAGCTAGACTGGAAAATGGGGAAAATTCCCAAGGGCTAACTGCTCCTCCTGTGATAGCTACTACTGTTATTAGGTGACACACTGAATGACAAACAAATGTGTTTATTTTTTAATATAATTAAGCCATTCTATGACTTTTTACAAAGTATTTAACACCATAAACGAGCTGTTTAGTCTAATTAGGCTGAACTTACTACATTTAGATTTAAGTCTACTTATATTTTACAGACGTTACTTTTAAAAATGGAAATGTTGCTACATCAGAAATGTTACATTTAGCCAAATTATGCAAAACAACCAAATAATCCTCACACTATTCAATGAAAAAATATATAATATTAAATATTAAATATAATATATATTAGTCATTAATCGAATAAGGCTGAAGATTGTACATGTTTGTGTGCGGACTTTTTAACACACCGGTCCTACCTTAAAGAAAACAAGCCACATCTACAGTATCTGCCTGGTGTAACACTCATCTCTCATCTTCCTGCATGGTAATTACAGTGCATTGCAAATTGCTAAGGATAAGGAACAGAGAAGATTAGCCCAGTAATACAGGCTCACCTGTCAGTGATTTGAAAAGCACAGAGCCTAAATTATGGCCGACCTCCATTAAATCCACCTTCTAAGAATAGGAAGCAGAGAGTGCCAGTGGTTATGAATTATGAAAGCAGCCTCCAGGAGCTCATTTCCAGGGTGATCATCACACTAGAGTATGACCCAGTGATAATAACAGACAAACTGTGAACCTGACATTCAGGATCCATGCTGTCTCTGGAACATGGTATCATGACAGGTTCATGTAAACACATTCGTATATGATTCAAGGTTAAATTTATCGGCCCTCCACGCAATTCAAAAATAAACAAATAAATGAAGTGTCAAAACGGAGAAAACGACAACCAATAATAATATGTCTGAGCCAGGTTTGCGTCGGTGAACGCAACATGTGATGTCATCCGTCATCGCGAGATAAGATTTGGCAAGTGACATGGCGGTTATGGCGGCTTGTTTAAAAAGACAGTGGAAACGAATGTTGTTTTTATTTATTTAAACAAAAGGCAGACCCCTTGACGTTTGGATTTGTAAAAAAGGCGTTCGCAAAACCACGGAGCAACGAAGACAACAGCAAGTGTCGTGGTGAGTAAAGAGATAACAAAGACGCTGAAGTTTGTGTTGAAAGTTTGTGATGCAGTGTTGCTAGTTCTAGACAAAAATAAGACTTTTTGTTAATTACAGTAGTTAAGAGTATGGCAGCCACGTTAAGGAAAAGCAATACATTTAAGCCGTGAGTTTTTGTAAATAGAGTAATCTAATTATAAGAATAAATTCGTATGAAAAATGACAAATAAATCCATCCACCCGCCAAAAACCGGAGAAGAGGGCAATTTATTCAATTATTTATTTAAGTAGACGAATTGTCTTGCGTATTCTTGTTAAAGAAAATGTTATTCTTGGTGATGACCACTAGGTGTCAGTAGTATAAAGGACACGGGAACTCTCCCAAGTGCCTCTCTAGCTTTAGTTCATTCGGTAAAGCATATCCAGTAAAGTCGTAGAATTACCTCAAATGTGAACAACATAACATTTCAAGCATTTAAATTCTTGCCTTCTTACACCAATGACTTTAGTTCCGCTTATTAAGTGATTGTGTCGTATTCAAATCAGCGTTAACACAGACTTAAATATGTTTTCATATATCAATCCACAGCAAAGGTTCTGTGGTATTACTTGACTTATAAATGAATGATGATAATATACAGGATATCTTCATATACAGTATTAAAAAATCTAACATTTACATTTAATAGTCCAATAAGTGAGCATGTTCATTTGCAGTAATGGATACAATTCCCTTCTCCTCTATATATATTGTCAAAATAAATGTATGCCATTTGAAATAGAATATTAAAAAAAATCCCACATTATGCAAAGTTATTGGTGTGGGTTAAATGCTAAATTAGTGAACATCTGTTAAGTATCAAATGTTTAAATAAAATCAGAATTCTTTCATTTTTCTTTTGTGGATTTTAAGCATAGGGGCATAAGGGATTTTAGCATTAATGACAGAACAATAAAAGAATGAGAATTACTGATGAATTCCTCCTGTCTCATATGAACCTTGCAACTTGACCCCCTGACACATTATTCTGAGCAAAGCTCTGCTTCAAAGACATCCGAAGCCATACTGATGAAGGACACTGTCTCGTCTTACATTCATGCAGTATTTCTGAATTCTTGCCTTATTTGTCTGTGTGGACACACGGGTCATTTCACTGTAAATCTGTGGGATCCCATAACCCGCTGCCTGACCACAGAATTGATCCCAATGTGCCAACTGTGACTCAGTTACATGAGATGCTCCGTCCCTAACTGTAATGGCTGACTGGAAGGCATGTCACTGCACTCTGACAAAAGACTGTACTCATGTGTCAGTGAGACACGGCTGAAGTATTCACAGTTACCAGTCTGCAGATAGACTACATACAGACGGGCGACCCCGACAGTGCTAAATGTTTTCTCTTATCTCATCTCATGCCAGTAATTCATAGGTTGTCACTATACAGAAACAGACAACTGTACAGTACGATAACGCTGTGGAGTCAGTCTTCTGCATGTCTGTGCTCTAATAGGGAACTGCTGATCTACTATTGCCTCATTTGGTAAGTCAGAGTCACAGAAGATGTTTACATCTGAGTAAAGTCAGTCCAAGCCCAGAATAATACATTAAACTATTTATATGAGGTTCCAGTAGTGGATCATTGACTTAATTTTTTAGACATTTTCACTAGACTATTTTGTTGTAAGAGCTATATTAATAATTGCACCAAACACTGTGCTCCCAAACTGTGGTAGCTAAGTAATGCTGCAGAATCCATGTCATAGTTATACTATCTGTGAAGTCTGTGAAAACATGGCTTTCTCTCTGATTTGGTTAACTACTGATGAACCCAACTTTGCCGGAGAGGCCTAGGTGTATTCCTTGTTCTGATTAGTAAAATAATTGAAGAAGAGCAGAAACCAGGATGGAAAGCCATTACTCTTCAAGAAATAGATGATTGATGACTTTTTTTATTTACATATTTCTTACGGCTAGACCTTAGAGATAAAATCTCTATGTACATTTCTTATGCTGAACAAAAAAAGAGTACAATTAAATTTAATAGTCTATATGCTGAAGTTTCTATAGGCAAGACACTTGACCCCAAAATTGTAATTTTATTGGCTTTGCCTGCAGTCTGTGAGTGGGATGGGAAGCGACACAGTACATGGTTGCCAGTAATACAGTAGGCTGCCACTCTCTGCTCTTTGCTTGGTGTGCTAACCGCTACATTATGAAACCACAGTGTGAGTCTTTGCATAAAGGAATTACTCTTAAAAATGGCTGTGAAAATGAATATATATTTGGTGACACTGCAGCAGTAATTCCATACAGAGTTGGCATAGTTTTTATAACCCATATTCTTCCTGACGCAGCCTCCTCATTCGAGTGAACGGGGGCAGTAGGTTTAACTTGACCCAGAGATTGGGCATAACAAGTTGTTGGAAGCCTGGCACTGTGCCACAACTGACCAAGATATAGTGTGCAGAAGTTCTGAATTGATTTTAAGTGCAGAAAACCAACCTATTTTAGATATTTAACACTTGACAATGGTGTATAATGCAGTTTAATAATCAGCTTTTAATAGGTATAGGTTCTGTATTAGTCAGTCAGAGCAACTGTCTAAGCAGATGTGTCATGCCTCAAACCTTGTTTTAAGCATATGTTATCAATGACAACGTAACAGCATCTCACTTGCACTTGATATTGAACTATCACTTTAACAGTTAGGAGCTTTTAGGAAACTTGGCCTTTATTGTTTCAGCACTAAAAATTCATATTTTAAACAATCAGAGTAAAGTTTAATGATGATCATGTTCCATAAGCAATAAACCATTAATTTATTACACAATGGCTCAATTTACATTACAAACACATATAAGGAAAATAAAAGTAGGCGATGCCGAACATTCTTTTTTATACTGTAAGTGGACTTAAGACATTTGCCTTACATTACTTAGGTTTATGGACATTTATATTTTACTATAAAGACAATTTTATGTATAAAAACTTGAGTGTGATTTTTATTTTTAATCATATGAAGAATACAAACGTTTCTTATCACAAGCACTTTAGCCAGACAGTCATCCAAATATCAAATGCTGAATATAACAAATCGAAGTATCTGTATCGCCTGTCATGACATTTGGGTAGGATAGGGAACAATTTACAAGTAATTATTTTTGGTAGGGAAGCAATAGAGATGTTACCAGTAAACAGTTTGTTAATATCAACAATGGTTTATTGCAATGGCATGTAAACAGTTGCTTCACCTCCTACAGACATTCAAACACTGACATTAAAAACCAGTTTAACTTTTGTCAACACTCAGATGTCAAACAGCTGAGGAACTTTTAAGACTGGTGTCGTGAAAGGAAGCTGCCCATGTTCTCGTGCATGTGTGAATATTGGTTTCTTATTTCCTATTAAGCTGTAAATTCAAATTTAGAAACCACAGCTTTGAGTTTAATCCTGCAGAATCATGCAACACTTAGATGCTGTGTTAGGTCTGTAAGCATCCAAAAGATGCAGAGTCACTGTGTTGCATCCAAACAATGACTACTCAAATTCCTGGTTGCTGCTTTCAAGAAGTGCTGCTTCTTTTTCTTGACCTTGGTCTTCTCTTTACCACTTCTTCCTCCTGGTCACTTTCACAATCTCTCTGAAGAAAAGAAAAAAACAACTGTATATATTCAGAAACAACTGTGCTTTTGTTATACTGCAGCAAAGGTAAATGAGTAAGTGAGGCTGGCCTATAGGGCTGGGCGATTAATTTACTTTTGAGTTTGATTATGAAAACAAGATAATCGAAATAAGATGATTATTGTGCCATCTGCCATGCTTGTGTGTTGCTCTTATTCGTTGCTGTGATTGGAATGCAGCCATTTTACAGTCATTTCATGAATCATGAATTAAATTATCATGCTTCTGATTTGACATAATGGAGCAACCCTACTGAAAAGCACATAATCACAACAAGTGGTTACAGCCCACAATCTCTGCTTAAACAAAATGCACGTAGTATGATCACAGAGCTGTAGAAAGTTGTTCTTAGCTCACAGAGTTTCTTGTTAGATCAACCCAAAGTGGGTCTGAACATTTGTAAAGGTGTTACTGCAGCTATGTAATGCCGCAGTTTAGTTAGAAAACACTGAAGTTCTTACCCCATCCTCTAAACGCATCTTTTGGTTCTTCTTCATGATCCGAGTAAAGTGGTTGCACAGAGATACAATTCTGATTGAAAACTGTAAGACAGAATAAAGCAAGGAATATGGGCTAATAAGTTAGTCTGTGCCCAATTAAATCATATCAGTCAAATAGAGCTTTCATTTCTGAACTTCACCTTCCACCTGCGTCTGGCATACTGTCTCTTAAAGTTCTCCAGGTTGACCACCGACAATCTCTTCACCATGGCCTGTCTGGGATTTACTGGCTGCAGAGACACAGCAAAGATAAAAATAACAGAAAAAAAGTATTTTATCCAGTCTTGCAATACTAACTTATGGCAAAAATCAAACTGATGTTTCAAATACATAACAGATCACAGCATTTTGGGGAGAAAATCCATACTTTTGATTTATTTTACTGGTTTCAATTGCATTTAATATGTATGAATACACATCAAGACAATACAATCAGGTGTAAAGCATGTGGTGACATGCTGAAAACACCAGTAAAGAACACTGTAAAGGCTATAATAAACACACATATTTAGGCTGGTTTCTTCAATAAAGAAATAAAAACATTTTCTTAATAAATAAGCGCAAAATGCTTTGAAAGTGCCCATTTAAATACATTAAAACTAATGAATTACATTACAAAATTGATTTTAACAAAACAAAAAACACAACCACTGTAATAGCACATGAACTATTTGTTCAGTCTAAAATAATAGACTGGAATGAAAGTACATGCACCAGTCAGACAATGTGAAAATCTAACATTTCTTCAGTCACATGTCTTCATCTGGACAAAAGTAAAAATGTTATAAAATAAAAAGCATCTTCATTTCCACCCGCCTAGTGATCAGATAATACTGATACCACTTCACTTAAACTAATTATTTCAGCGGTGCCTCCTACAACAAATAAATAAACAAGTGTTCATCACTCTTTGGCCTAGTTAAATGCTTACTTACCGTAGCTATGCTAGGTTAATGTCTGCCTCTTTCTCAATTTTGTAGGTAATGTTATGCAAACAGCACAGAAAAAGGGTGAGCCTCTGCATGTTCATACTAATATACCTCTGAAATCTAAGTAAATATTTATTTTTTGTCTTTACTGTCTTTAAACATGTGCTATTTGTGGGCTAAATATTAGCCTTTTGTTGTCCTTATTGTACTACTACCTATTAATAATTATTTATGATGTCATTTTGATGATTTTAACCTGATGATTGGCCAGCCCTTTGCTATGTGTATTGTTCTTTGCCGATTTTGTAGGTAATTATTAGTTATGCAAACAGCACAGAAAAAGGGTGGAGTGGGGGCTTTGTTACTATGTGCAATATCTCTTTTAAATAATTCACACACTATACCTTATAGTGGAATATATGTAAAGACCTAGAAGCTATACATTCAGAAATCTTTAAGATGGATCTGTCACGTTTAACCAGACTCAGTGAGAGGCTGTTTGACACTTGGACAAAGTTCCCCTTTGCAGGACTGATGAAGCAGCTCCTTCAGAGCCTGTTTCATGTCCATACTGAGTCTGCTGCTCTGTATGCTGTCCAGGACGCCCTCTGGATGTAGAGAGCCCATCACTCCCTTTAGCCACTGCATGTCGGAGGTCAGCTCCTGCCTCAGGGTGTCCAGCTGGCTCTGCCTTTGACTGTACTTCCCACTAATAGTCTCTAGTGTGGCATCGACAGCCTTCATGTCCTCCTGCAGAAGCCTTCTGGTGGCCTGAACTTTACGATACTCATACCGGACCTGAGAGAGTTGCTTTCTTGCAGCCTCGCTCTCCTCTTTGTACCAGGCCTCTTTGTCATTGTAAATAGATAGCAGTGCTTCCATGTCTTCCTGGAGAGTGTGGTTGGCCCCAGCCACTGCTGATAGTCCGTTCTCCATTAGGCTAATGTCTTCTAACATTAGTGCGAAACGCTCAAAGTTGGCATATGTGTTGTTCTGGGACATACTGGAATGCAAGTGGATGGTGTACTCCTTCAGTCGCTTTGTCTTCAGCTGCTCAGCTTTCTTCTCAGCGCTGTACTCCTCTGTTTGGCCACAGGACTTCACAGGACAGAAGGGTGGAGGAAGGACACTGAGTGAGAGGCTATCTCATTGCCTTTGACACACGCTCAGTGGTGAATATCCCAACAAACGTGGTACTGCAGGATTAGTTTGTGACCCAACAGTGAAAGCCAAGGCCAGTAAGGACACCACAAATGACAAGCATTCCTTTCGAGTGTGTTAAGTCTTCTGATTTCATGCTTGTCAGTTCAAAATGGATGAAGACTCAAATCAACATCATATCGCAACTATTCAGCTGACATTATTCAATGGGATTTCTTTGGAACTAGAGGTTGTTAAATGACCATGCCTTTAAAACACAGTTAGTTCTTTAAAATGCTTGAATGATGATATAAGATTATTTCAGCCTCCAATGACCAACTGTAAGTTACTTGCTGTGTTGATGAAAGAAAATATTCCCATATATATATATATAAGCACTATATTATTCTACTAATGATCAAATGGTAGAGTGAAGGTTAAGGGCATCCCTACTGCATCATGTATTTTTTACTTTTAATTTTGACTGCCTAAGGTTAATACTTTAAATATATTTTATTAGCACAACTGACCATTTTAAAATATGTATGTGATCTTGTAAGTGAGCTTGTAAAAACATGTATTTAGTGACAGGGTGTTGATGGTCATAATTACTTCACACACCCACAACATGCTTTAATAAATGAAATGCATACCTTAATCCAAGGGTGATTGAGGGCATCATGTATGGTCATCCGTTTTCTAAAATGATGGGAGGAGGAAGTTTAAAAGCAGTCAAGTATCTACATACTACCTCAAGTCGGTCTAACTTTATCAGCAATATTCGGTTTCTCGGTAGTTCTTCTAAGCAGAAAGAGCATGATGACACAGTACCAGCGTGGGCAAGAGGTTATCAGGTTTCTGTGTAAATAATGTTAATTCAGATTATCAGATTTAGCACATTACATAGTGTACCAATAATAAACATGTCATTGGTTTAGATTTCTGTGTACTGGTTGACCTTTGACTTTTGACTGTCACATTTAGATGAGGTCTGTTTGTTTTATGGACTTGGATTTGTAGCAGTGAAACCTCTAAACCGGGGCTTTGTAGTGGTATTGACAGACATGACTACTGGCTTTCTAGTGTTCTTCAGTGACCCAGTCGCTCACCTTGTGTCCTTTTCCAGAAGCTGTCTGATGAAACTTTTGGCAAGTTCGCTTGTATTATTGAAGAACTCTTCATCAAACTGGTAGCTCACCCCAGAGATGTTTCCCAGAGTTTCTTGCTTTGAGTCACCAAGGAAAGGTGATGCACCACTCAAGCTGAAACAGCAGTCATAAAAGCTTAGACTTCTCTTTATAAACACCTTTGATACTTTAAGATTCTGACTGAAAGTCAGCATCAACTTACAGTATGTAGGTGATGACTCCTATGCTCCTGTGAGAAATGTAACAAGTTAACACAAAGTTATGGACATCAGGAGGTTGTGTGAGGCTGAGAATCAGAAGTCAGAGGTAATTAAAGTATCTTACCACATGTCTGCCTCCAATCCCAGTGGCTCATAGTTGACTATCTCTGGAGCTGAAAATAGGCATCTGCATCACAAACAGGCCAAACTCTAAGCCTCATCTTAAACTGTCCTACGATGAAAACAAATCTCATACAAAACACTTACCAACAAATTCAGGCGTGCCAAAAATGTTTTTGAATTCAGTGCCAGCCTCTATCTTGTGTGCCAGTCCAAAGTCTATGAGTTTGATGCGGGGCAGAGGGATGTTCCTGTCCAGCAACATTATGTTTTCAGGCTAGGGGGGAGGGGGGGTGGAGATGTTTGTTTTCAGTAGTTAACCTGACATGGGTGAAATCTCTACTGTGGACAACTACAAGAAGACTTAATAGTGTTACCTGATCAAATCAGCCTTTTGTGTAAGCATTTGGGAACACATTTCAACAGTTATTTTGTCAGAACTTTAACAAAAAGTTATATCAAAGTTATATCAAAAACATTTATGGAACTGTTATTTATTTATCTCATTATTTTCTTTCAATCTTGGTGATAAATGGAAAATAAACTTGTATAAAACACTAAACAATGAACTGCAGAGCTCAGCTCTGAAATTGATACGATAACGTAGTGGTGTTTATATCTTGTTGTCTGGACCTCAGCCAGATACAACAGGAAGTATGTCTGATACAGAAAGGCAGGAGACCACTGACATGTGAACCAGACACTTGCTATATATGGTATATTTCCTCTTTCTATGTAGAGGCTGAGCAACAACGGAGAAAAACAACTGCACTAGCACATGTATCAGTGTTTGAGTTCTTACCTTTAAATCGAAATGTGCAATTCTCTTGGAGTGAAGGTACTGGACTCCATCTAAGACCTGTTTGATAAACTGAGTGGCCTCCTCTTCACTGAGAGTCTCCTTCTGAGCCAAAAAGTCAAACAGCTCTCCCCCTGAGACCCTGAAAAACAAACCCACAGACACATCAATGTTGTGGACTAGTGGCTCTCTTGGGCACTTAGATAAAATTTGAATTTTATCAAAGTATTAGATAGAAATGTGAAGTGATGTGTTTGCTTTTAATAACACTTTGGGACTGTCTGTAAGTGGGTTCCTCTTATGCACAACAATAGTTCTCTAATATTTTTTAAGAGTACAACTGCTATGCAGCATCATTCACCCATAATTAGTACTCTCATAGTTAAGGAGAGGAATAGGTAAAAACTTAAGTTCTGTTTAGCAGCTAACAGTTGTTCCACTTTTACTTTGGTTGGACTGTTTGAATTAGACTTCCTTTGGCCTTTTGAGGCTTTCTTTCAACACAAGTTCTATTGACTCATTCAGAGACATATTTTTCTGGCACACAAAATTCTGGCCAAAGGTTTTCAGCTAATACAGGATAAGCAAACAGCCCATTTCACAACATCAACATTTAACATTGTACATTGTAAAAACCAGATGTGAGTAGGTCCTAGAATTATATGTATTGTATGTTGTAGAAACACAGTTGAGAGCTTGTCAGAGAAATTTAGATTTTTTTTTTGTAGGTTTGTGTCCATCAACAGAGATCCTCAGGACCTTTGAAAACTGGGCAGCACCCATAAATTATGGTATGACTTACAGTTCCAGGATCAGCACCACATCTGTGCGACTTTCATACACATCATGCAGAGATATGACATTGGGGTGCTGGAGTTCTTGGAGGATCCTCACTTCTCTCTCAATCTCTTCTTTTCTTACTCCTCTTCTGCTGCTACGACTCTGGCGCTTCTTGATAAACTTGGCAGCATATTCAGTTCCTGTGCTTTTCTCTACACAACGTTTCACTACTGCAAACTGACCACTGCAGACACAATAAAAAAGGCAATAAATATGCTTTCACTTACTTTCACAAATATGCTTTTTATATTTTTGTATTTTGTCATATCTCTGTTAAAAAAAGAGAGCCAGTTAGTTGGAGTAAAAAACAGAAGAGGCAATGGATAGGGTCAGATGGAGGCAGATGATCTGCTGTGACTACACTTGAAAGGAAGAGCTGAAAGAAGAAGTCATGTCTGTGTTAAACCTTCATTTCTCAAGTGCATCAGAAAACCACAAAAACACAGTTGCCTGCCCAAGTTTAAAAAGAAAGAATGAAAAACAAAATTGTGATATCTGAATAACAAGTATGCTATGTTTCAGTGTATTCAATTGTTGTTGATATAATTAAAAAATGTAGAAGCCATGGTTTAATATCAACTCCATAAGGTTCTTTATGGATAGAACAGTATTGCATCAACAAGACAAACAGTACAACTCAAAACAAACTAAATAAAGGTACATGTCATTGTGAGAAAGAGAAGCTCATTATGTAAATAAAAGGCCACATTTAACTGATGCATATACCAGAAAAATATAATAGCAGATTCTGTATTGAATTGAATTGAATTAAATACTTCACTGTTTTGGGGACTTATGGGGACTTTGCTTGGTGAAAAAAAGTAAAAGGCAACAATTTTTCACTTAAAGGTCTTTGTTTATATTATTGGAAAATCAAGGCGCCGTTTGTATCTTGGGGGTGTAATATCTCCCCATAAGAGGTCACTCTTTTTACTTAATGGACTTCTTATGAGAGAAGGGTATTTCAAAATAGATTCATTCCAACTAACAACAGGAAGACTAGGTGTAGATTGAATCTTAACAGGAAGCCATGATTCAAAACTAGCTGAAAAACTGCAGTGCTATCATCACGTCCTGTTTCCCAGCCAGACAAAGCATTCACACAATGAGATGGGATGACAATGTGAATAGAGCCTCTGTCCCACCACCTCTGCAACATTCTGGCAAAATGTGAAACCATCCTCAACTTATCATCCAAGGGAGTTAAATAAAATCTATGTAACTCTGAATGTTTTTGAAAAAAGGGCATTGCTTGGAGATAATCTCATTCTGGAATTTTATTATCTTATGCTTCTTCTGAAACAACTATATCTCTTCTGACAAGTGTCATTCTAGCCTTGATAAATAAAAATAAATAAAGCCTTAATTGACTGATTAAGAAAAATGTAACACTTCAGCCACTTAGGGTCGTCTCTATGTTTTTGTGGCAGCATTTTAGGACTAGCTCTTGTCTTGTCTTTACGACCTGCTACCACTCCTGCTGTTGTTGTTGACTGAACTGCCCCCTCTAATTGTTCAGACTGGCAAAGCAAGCCTCTTAGTCACCAATCAGTGAGTACCAGGACAGGCATGATGTGACATGAGTGTGATGTGTGTAGAGAAGGCAGGTTAAACACTGTTTGTGAATTTATAGTCAAATTTAAAGGGAACATGGTTGGATGAAATTCTTAACGTTGTGGTTGCTCTGATTCAAGCAGTCAGACTACTTATATTTATAGTTATTGTAAGGAAACACATACAGGGGGCAACAATATCTGGTGTATGTTTTGGACATAACTGTCTGCTCACAGATTCCGGGGTGCCAGAGAGAAGCTTTCCAGGGCATGTCCACTATTATCGTGGTGTCTAGTGGGCTAAGAATAGACCTGTTCACAGGCTCATTGTCTCCCTGCCACCTCTCTTGTGCTGCTGTTGCTGCTGCTGTTGAGGTGAAAGAAATTGGCTCTGGTGCCAACCTTTTTTTGCCCCCAAGGATGTGGAAAGAGAAGATTAGTGGAAAAGAGAAGGGTTAAGAGGAGCTGCTGGATAAAAGACAAGAGAATTGAAAAAGGATGCCAACTCTGTCAGCCACACTCATTTGACCTGATAGTTTTAACTTGCACTTTAGAGGTCACTGAGCACTGACATTAGAAAAGCAAGTAAATGTGCCCCCCCCATTCCCTCCAGTCTATAGTATCCTACTGTTTAGACACTGCATCAATCAAACAAAGCAACTCTATTGAGGGAGCTTTTTTAGTCTGTTTATTCTATTTACAAACTCAACATATCTTTACAAGCGCTGTCCAACATGAACCTGTGCAAAATGAAGCCTAAGCTGCATAGAGCCAATTAAGGAAAGTATTAAAGTAGTAAATTCGGAGTACACATGTCCAGCTTCTCAAGTGGCTCCAGGAGCAAGAATCTGACTTGTTTAATTGTTCTCCAGTTTTATTGTTATGATACAAAGTCCAAGTCAAACAAGCATGATTGTTGAATTAATTTGTGGTCCATGTGGCATTGAATCTGTAATTATATCTTAAACTTGTCCTGAATTTCAGTTATCCCAGGTTAGCTACAATATTTTCCCTTTTAGTTTTTTAAATAAATAAATACATTCTTGTAGTTTGATTCAATTCAGAGCAGCAGTCAACAAAAAATTACTGCCATTTTTTTCAGAGAAAATAAGCATCTTGAAAGTCAGTCTGAGGTTTAATAATTCTCAACAGAGAATACTGAATATAGTTAGAGGGGACATGTAGCAGAGGCAACATAAGAACAGGGGGGAGAGAAATGATGACGCAGTGTATCAAGGAATTCCAAACACACCCACAGTCTGCTCAATTCACAGAATATCTACACCTCTAAGGGATAGTCACATCTTGAAAGGCTGACTGTTGCTCTAGGCTGATCAGAGGTCAAAAAAGAGGAGGAGGAGAGATGGGCACGTCCAATGAAATCCACATGCAAAAACAAACACCACATCTCACTAAAGGATAGAAAAGTCACATGGCAGCCACAGCAACAACAGTGTCCTTGATTTGCCTGTTAAGTAAGACAGAAAAGATTAGGATAACCCCTCCTGTTGATGGTTGTTGCGCAAATGTGAGAAGGAGTACAGCACAAATGTGGATATAGGGGCCCTGGGCTTTACTTTAGTGTTGTTATGAAGTGTAGAGTGACAGCAAAGAGACCTGTGATGCTGGGAGAGGTATTCCACTGCGGGCCAGGCGTGCCGTTTGTCTTAGCTTTAAGCTGGTCCAAAGGGGCTGAAAGAACTGTCTCTCTCCAGAGTTTCCACTTCCAACAGCTGAAGGTTATTAGCCACAGCCAAGGTTAGAAGAATACTCGGACAAGTGGCGCCGGCCCAATATTTAAACACATTTCTCTACTCAACAACTACGGGGGCTGTGATGACAATGAAAGCCAGTTTCATAATTGACCAAGCCCTGTCCCTTACCACCTCTACCAGCTGTAAATCCAGTGCGTAGGAGAGGCACCTCAGACCTCTAAAAACAGAAACACTACTTTTACTGTATTTTAGTGGGGTGGCAAAAATACAGCACTTTGTTCACCACTATAACAAAATCTCTCTACTTCAATACCCAGTGGTTGAATGAATCTGCATTAGTTGTGAAGTTGCTTAGAGTCAACACGTATGTGGGAGCAGCAGGGCTAAACAAGTGTTTGCTGACAGTTACAAGTTGACCTAGGTCCATTAAGAACTCCAGGAATGTCCAAGAGGACAACACAAAGTCCCTACAGTCAGACCACATTTAATGCACCCATTTTTACCCCCGCA